CATCCCGAGTCTGCAGCACGTCGTCTGCGCTGCCGCCGCCCCTCTCTCACTCAACGTTTGGTCTTGACCGGCCGACCCCTGTGACAATCAGTGGCGAGAGTGCAGCCTGGCCTGCCAGTTCCTGTGCGCAGCGTGCCGTACGCGCCTGTGGTAGGGACCAGGCCGTTGCGTCGGCTGCGCAACAAGCGTGAGGGCGCATAAGTCCATGAGGCATGAGTGCGATGAGTGCCGCCAAGCCTCGGCGCGGCGCAGGCACCACGGCCCCCTGTATGGCTGGGGATGTCCGTAAGGACCCGTGGTCCGTCCCTCCCCTCCACCGTGTGGGGTCTGCTTGCAAGGCTCTTTTGTCAGCCCGTTGGTCTGTGAAAGGACTGCGTCGCTGCGTTTGAAAAGGGTTCCGAGGGCTGTGCTTGTAGCTGATTTGGTCGTAGCCAGTCTTGTTGCTCGTAGCTTTCTGCTGAGCTCGTGCCTTCAACCCCTTCCCCCTTTCGTTCCTTTCTTGTAGTCTGTGAGCGCACTCGTAGTGACGGGCTTGTAGCTTGTTTTGCCCCTAGTAGGTTTGCCCTCCTTTTCCCCTCCCCTGACCCTCCTACCACCATGACGCTGGTGTCTGCATCACCGCCGGCCGGGCTGCGGCTGCCACCTCTGCGTCTTCCTCTGCCAAATTTCCGCCGGACAGCCAGGGAGATGCGCAAACTTCCTCACCAAATATCCTGGTGAGTTCCTCACAGCTACTACCACTCCGTCTGGTAAATTCCTGTCCCGCAGAAGCTGGCGGTCAGAACGAGGGCGGTGGGACTCAGAGGGGCTCTGTACCCCTTTCAAGGTTTCAAAGACAATCTTTGCAGGGTTCGGCCCCTTTCAGGGCCACTCATCATCGCCGCCAGCCCGCCCAAGGATGTCTGCCCATGTCCTCAGCTGGTGTGCCCAAATCGAAAGGGTAAGGGGTCATTGGCGTGGCAATATTTTGGGGTCATGTTCTGCATTGCAAGTCGCATAGGCAGGCTCCACATATGCTACTTATCCTACTTTCGTGCGCGCATTGATCATGGTCCTCCGACCTGGGCCGATCCAAACTGATCCGCTCAAGGTCGTTTTCTCTTTTGTATCTTCAAAAAATTGCGCTCCCGCTCGAGACGTCCTCGAAATTTCGTCGATTTATCTTCTCAAGAGTGAAGTTCTTGGGGGGTCGTTTGGGTATAGGTTTGGTATAGGATTCGTCTGATTCGTCGTTCAATTTCGATCGTTCAAGGAACGATTTCTATACCAATTCTATACCAAACTGATCCGCTCGAGATCGTTCTCTTTCAGTCGAGGTCGTGCTCCCGTGCGGAGCATCCTGAAAATTTTAGGAAAATTGCCAGTCCCTCCCTGTTGAGCCCATGCTCCACCGGCGCCTGGGCTTGCCCACTACTGCGCTCGCAATGCTCGGGGAAGATCAAATCGTGGTGCCGAAACCCTTTGAGCGCTTCACCTTGTCGCTGCGTGCCCCGTCTCTGACGGACCGTACTGACGGAGGTCTTTCATCCCAGGCCTCCGCCTGCCCCTCAGTCCCGTCTGCTGCCCTGGTCAATGATTCATCTCAGCCTAAGGCCAAGAAGACTGCCAAGCACAAGGCCACCATGTATTGACAGTTGCCTGTTTCCTCCTTGCCTGTCAGGCTGCCATGCGCTCTCTGCGCAAAGGCCACCTCGGGCCTGTTGACTGATTGACTGGTGCTGATCGATGGATTATGTACTTGCGTGCCCATCTGATGCTGGGGGGCCCTTTGCCTGTGCGCACTCCTGCTCATCCTACAGGCATACCTGACCCAACGCCTGCCCACCAGCTTCGACTTGCGTGCACGGGCCCGCCCTATTCTGTCTCGGGCGGCGCAGCGTGGAGGGATTATTATCGTTCTCGAGAACCCCGCCTCAAGTCTGGTCTTGCTGGACCCTGCCTGCATTTCTCGGTGCCGCTCGTGGCTTCGCTGACATGGACAAGCTGGCTGTTTGTCAGCAACCATGCATGTGTCTGCATTTGCCTCGTCTGCCCGCATGTCATGCAGCCCTTGCGGGATTGATTTTGCCCTCCCGTTCTTTTCAGGTCCTTCACACCGCCTGGGATCGCTTGGTGTCTGTACCTCCTGGTCGGCCATTTCGACTGTGCAGCCGTGGTTTTCTGGATCTGCTGCCTGATGGCGTGGGCGTTGCTGAGCCTCTCATCCGCCTGGCTGCTGCCCCGCTTTGGTCGGAGCCTCTCAAGCCGCTGCAACACTGCACTTCTGCCTGGAAGTCCGCCCTGGATCACCCTTCCATCGTTGACGAACTTTTAGCTGCTTTAGCTGTTGAGCTGTCTGTGGGTTGGGTTCGCCCCATCTCTCAAGACACAAATCTGCTGTTGGCAAACTGGGCGTTGTTTTGGCGGAGGGGCGCCCCCCCTCGGCTTTTTGTGGGCAGCTCTCCGCGACTCTCCCTCATTTGCGTCTTTGCCTTCTGTCCGGACTTTCGCGGGAACGTTTGCGTGCCCTAGGCTCACCAACGCATCTTTATCCGTTCCTGTGACCAAGGCCTGCTCTGTTTCCATCGAGGAAACACCTTTTTCCGTTGTGTCACCCTCAACTTCGGGGCACGTGCTTCTGGATGTTACTGGTCCCGCCTGGCCGGTATTCTTACCCGCCTTGGCCACCGCCTGAGAAACGTCGGTCATTCTCTTCTCATCTAATGTGGATGACCTCATCTGCCTGCTCTCTGCCAACACTGAGCTGGCATAAAGCCTCCTGTCCTCCACCCCTGTCTGGATTGCTGGGTCAGCTGCCTGGACTTATTCACTGCCGACATGCAGGATGGAGAGAAGGCTCGCCGAATCACTCCGCTCAAATCTGCCCGTGGCCTCAAGACTTGCTCTCTGGTCACCCGCCCAGCCTTATTCCTCTTTATGCCAATGAATCGTCGCGCGTTCCTGTCCACTTTGCTCTCACGCAAGAGCAGTGGCACCTCTGCCGCAAGTTGCTGGACTCTGACTTGGTCATCACGCCAGATCTTGGTGTCCCTTCCCTGCCTGTTGGCTCAAATTCTTGCCGTGGCCAACTCTGCAGTTCGCACCAAGGCTGACCTGCCCGCTCACCCCGTTGCCTCCCGCCGTGTCTGGACTAAAGCTGGGTTGCCCGGGTCCGGTCCCATGATAGGCCCGTCTCGCAGGCCTCTCACGACGTCACCCGACTCTAGCTGGACATCAGCACCAGTTTTCTGGTACTGATTTATCTGCTCTAGTGGACTGGTTTTCCTCGACTGCCATTCCACAGCGTTTCATTGCCTGCTGGGAACTGCCCTGGGCTGGCTGGCACATTCCATGCTACCGCCTAATCACCTGCCTGTGCACGTCCACCTGTCTTGTGACAATGCGGTTGCTGAATCTGCCTCTTGGAAGGGCTTATCTACAGCCAAGGGTTTATGCCACCTCTTGCGATGCTTTTGGCACTTTCAGGAGGATTGTCGTGTGTCTGCCCACATCAACCATATCCCTGGCATTCTGAATAACCTCGCTGATAAGTTCAATCGCTTTTTTCGACCCTGCCTCGCTTGGCTTTATGCCCGAACAGGCTCGCACTCCGCCTTTGGTCTGCGCTCTCATCACTTCCTGTCATCCAAGTGTACCCGCCCCACTTGGACATTTGCTCTCTGTTTGATGCACTGTCCTGAGTGGCGTTTTGGCTGCATCATATTCCCTGCGGGTCAACGCACGTCTTGAGTTGCATGTTGGTCGGTGATGCAGCTGTCCTTTCTGCCTGTAGGTCTTTCCTTTCTGCCAGTTCCTGTCAGACCTTGCCTGGGTCTGACCAACACAGACAAACCTGTCTCAGACCTTTACTGCCACTGGACTAAACCTTATTGGGAAAAAGAGCGCGCTGCATTGTGCTGCTGTCTTTTTTTCCTGTCACCGAAACCTTAAGCTGACGCAACAGACTAGTCTGTCTACCTAATGATTCTGTACGTATATCTATGTGTTTGGCATTCAGACGCAAGGGAAGGCTGCTGCTGCAGGTACACCGTCTGCGCCTGCCGGCAGCCATCAGACTCAAGTTCCGTTCCGTGCTTTGCATTTCCCACCTGCCATACCCTCTCACTTCCTGGACTTTGCACTCTCTCTGCCACTGGGCTCTGCCCCGAGGGCCCTGTCTTTCGCCTGGTCCCCACTCTGCCTGCCTTGCATGCCTGGACTTCTCCCTTGGACTTTTCTCTGTTGGCTTGGAGCCTTGCTCCTCCGCCCATTCTGCAGCCTGCATCATTGTCCTGTCATGTTACTCATGATGGGCCGGTGATGCAGCCTGTCCTTTCTGCTTGTAGGTTTTTCCTTTCTGCCAGTTTCTGTCGGACCTTGCCTGGGTCTGACAACACAGACAAACCTGTCACAGACCTTTACTGCCACTGGACTAAACTTATTGGGAAAAAGAGCGCGCTGCATTGTGCTGCTGTCTTTTTTTCCTGTCACCGAAACCTCAAGCTAACATAACAGACTAGTATGTCTGCCAAACATAATCACAACATAATCTGTGTTGGCTGTTCAGTGGGCAGGGAGAGAGACTACCTGGAAGATTAACAGCCTGAACATCTACAAGCTAACAACGTTTTGAAAACACAGCGGTCTTCATTTCATACAGTTATTTCGGAGGTAGGGCGTGCTGTGTTGTGCTAAGCCCCCACACCTGACAGATCGCAGCCTCATACTTGAGCAAAGCCCGAGAGAGCCGAAACTAGCGGGCAATTTCACCCCATATATGTTCCAAACATTACAGTTCTTCTACAAAGGGTGGAGCCCAGAATCATGCTTGGGAGCCTTTTAGGGGAAGGTCCTGGAACACGTAGGCGCCTAGGAAACTTCAAAACCCTTGAAGCCACTGTGGGTGGCTCCTGGCGGGAGCGTGGGACTGGAAAGCTTCCAAGCCTAAAACGAAAGACTTCGAGGAAACGTAGCCATACGAATAGAGAAAACATTTGTTTTCCTCTTGGATGTGCTCTTAGGATTCCCAATCGCTGGAGCCAGACGATATGAAGGCCTTCGGAAACGGCGACATTATTCGTAGCTGAGATTCCAGGATTGCGTTCGGTGCCAATCGTGATGCCGGGAAGCTACTGTGCACCCTTTAAGTTTTTGCGCTCTGCCCCGGGAAAAGCTCATTCGTGAGGGACCAGATGCTGCATCTTTGGTGCAGTGGCCCGATGCTGAGTTCTTGAGTTCCTATCAGGGAGAGCTGATGAGTTTTTGTTTTGGCTCAGGCTGCTGAGCTTGGCACCAAGCCTCGCAAGTTCTGTGGAACAGGCATGGTGATGCGGTCTTCAATGTTTGTCAGGTGTGAATCTGCGGGGCCTTACGGGTTTGGAGTTGAACCCAGGTTGGCTCATGTTGGCGCCAGGCTGTGCAAACGTACGTGAAATTGCTTACGATGTTTACTCTAGCGTGTGATGCGCGTTTGAGGTACCTTGTTTGCCGGAGAATAATCAAATACACATGCTTCCTCACATGCAAGGAAACATCTTCGTATCTCCTCTGTGACAGGATGGTCTTCGATGAAGCTGTAAGAATTTATGAGTTCTTGACATCGGCAACGGTCCTTGCAAGGAAAATACTTTTCAGGCCGAATGCACGCATTGGCTCCAATGGAAAGATCTGTTTATCTTAGAAGTCATCCTGAACCTGTTCGGGGTTGTGGAATTGAAAGATGTTGAAATCCAGAGGCGTTGCTGCGGATTATGGCGGTAAGGTTCCTGGCACAGATGTGGATTCAGCCAGTTACATCTGCGGAATTTGCAGAGGTTTCTATCCTTTTCAGGTCATCAAGGCCTCTTGTGGGATGCGGAGGGGCTGTCAGTCCCTTCTCTCCCTCCCTCTCCCTGTTTCGCGTGAATTGATGCGAAGTTTCATTGAACACATCATGTAGATTGATCTTGACAAGTTCAGGTTCAAGCAGAGTACCAAAAGCTACGGGCAACCTATGACATCGCAAAGGAGACACTCGCCGGCTGCCTGCGTGACGCTAGACACATGTGCTTTGTTAATGTTAATGCGTTGTGCTTTGTGCTATGGCTTGGGGGCTTGGGTGCATGGGGAGGAGACACTGCTTTCCGAACGAATGGAGTCACATCCTGAGAGACCTTCTTGCCTTCCTCGCAGCACTGCTTATGGAGCCTGCTGGGGAGGTCTTTCGGCCTTAGGCCGAAAGCTTTGACTGAGAATGAATGTTCTTGAAGAATGACGGTGTTCTCTGGGATGTGGGTTTGCAAGGCCAGGTGACTCGTCGAAACCAAAGCTAGAAACATTGTGCGGGGCTTGGTGTGCGCAAAGCAGCTGCACCAGGGCATTGTGTGTTGGTGGATGGCAGTTTGTGAGGCAGCAAAAGCTGCAGGAGTCAAAGGAAGAACTCCAGATTCTCATAGAAGAGAAAGCCCACTTGGATCAGGTCTGGTTCAATTTCGTTGGAACTTGCAGGCTTTTTTGTTTTCTTGATGTGGAGGCTGTTCGAGGCCCGAAGAAGAAGCCCAAGGTAGGTGACATCCTGCTGCTGACAGTGAAAGTTTTGTTGGGTGCACGCATTGCATGATGGCATGTAGGGCCCCATGTTTGTGTGCGTGCGCATGTGCACGGGCGCGGGCATGGACTTGAAATGTGGGCACGTGCGTATGTTTTTGGTTGCCCGTGCCGAAACTTGCCACATGGAGGCGTTCTCGGCCGCCCGCCCTGCAGCTTGCTATTTGTTGGTGTTCTCAGCTGCGCCTCCTTCATCATGTTCCAGGTTGCCCCTCCAGCAACTTGCCACATGGAGGTGTTCCCTGCTGCTCGCCCTCCAGCTTGACAATCTAATTTTGGAGTCTCGGCTGCACTCCCTGCAGCTTCCTTTTTTCTTTTGCTTGCTGCCTTTCTTCCCCTCCTTGCATCACAGCACCCTTGATACCCCTGTCCGGATGGTTTGCCTGTCCACCCGGCAGCTCGCCGTTGGTCCGTGCCGCTTTGCGTTATTTCCCTGGAGGCTGAGCTCGCAGTCAGCGTGGCACCTTGGCGCTGTGCATGTGCCTACCTATCTACCTACCTGTTTATGCTGTATGGTTTGTTTCTTTTGCATTCGCATTCTGCCTTTCGCTTTCTCAATCTTATTGTCTGCCGTCTGCAAGACGTGTTTTGCCTTTTTGCTTTCTGCTTTGCCACTGTCTGTTTTTGTTTTCCTCTCTTTGTCTCAGCCGTTTGTCTTCTTCTCTTAGCTTTTTGCTTTCGAGGAAGGAGAGATGCAAGAAGCAAGCAAGGAAAGAAGGCAGAAAGGACAGAAGCAGGAAGGTTGCAAGCAAACAGCCAAGGATGGAAGGAAGTCTCTCTCCTCGCTCCTGTCTCCTGTCTCCTGTCTCCTCTCTCCTCTCTCCTCTTTCCTCTCTCCTCTATCCTCTCTCCCCTCTCCACTCGTCTCCTCTCCTCTTCTCTGGTCTTCTCTCCTCTCCTCTCCTCTCTCCTCTTCTTGCGCGAGGAGGTTCCAAAAGTGAGGACTGTTCTGCGTTTCGCGAGCAGCCCCCCGATCCCACTTTGGAGACATGAGTACCAGAGCCATGTCCAAAAGTCACGACAGTTCTGCGTTTCGCGACCGGCACCTCCCCGATACGTCCAAAAGTGACGACAGTTCTGCGTTTCGCGACGAGGACGACCCCCCCCCCCCGATCCCCGTGACTGTTGACACTTTGGAGACGCGAAGATCAGGAGCAAGGCCAAAAGCCACGACAGGTCTGCGTTTCGCGACTACCACGCATGCGCGACGCTCGCGAACGCTTGCGAACGGTTTGCGAACACAAACGCAACGACTTTTGGTCACATCCTGCACCCCTGGACCCCAACCTTGAAACAGGAACCCTTCTGCGGAGCATTCGGGACAATGTTCGAGGTGTAGGTCTAGCTGGTCTAGTAGCAACACCGTCCGCTTTGCTTGCCAGAAGAAACCGGCGCGTAGGTTTACACATGCTCTCCCCTGTGCTTGCCAGAATGCTACTCAGAGATTGCGTAAACACCGGCATTTCAATCTTCCAATGCAAGCCTGCAAACTCGCGACCGAAAGGCATGCAGACGTTCATTTGAACCTGGCTCATTCAAAGAAGAACTATAGTTGGGGGAGATCCACAGGTGGGGAGGAGATCACAGCAGACAAGACGCACAGATTTTTTCCCATGCTGATGGAATGTTGCCCAAGTGCCTCCGCAGCGGCCGTGTAAGACACAAGAAAGCTGGTTACGCAGGGATCATATAAAGATGTAAAGGGATTCTATTGTAACAACGGAGAATCAAATGGAGAAGAGAATGGAATGGAACAGGGAGTGGGATTGTCTGGTTGTTCATGAGGGCTAGCTAGAGCGCTTTACCCTCTGACCAGCAAGAAATGAGGCAAGGAAGCCAGTATAGTATTGGGTTCTGTAGGGACACACGGGCAATACTCGATCAGCATGCTAGGCATAAAAAACCCGGCTCGCTTGCTATGATCTAGCTTCCGTCCGCGCTGCTCTCAGGTTTTGCTTTTGTTGCTGCAATTGTGTCATTCTTAGTGCCATCATGTTCTATCTTGTTATTAGTGTTATTGCCCATGCTTTCCCTGAGCATCAAATATTGATGACCGATTAGAATCCAGATGAAAGACAACCATATTAATTCCAGAGCATGATCATTTTCCCAAAAAGCAATCAACAAACAACAGCATGGTTGTTTACATAGCAGCTTATATCAGATGTAGTAAATTTCAGCTGAAAGAAACCAATATGACAATATCCATGCGCATCGAGTTCTTATTTGTTTTTCATAATCTTCATCATGTTCAGTCATTTGCCGTCAGTATCCAGCATGAATTAATTTTCATGATTCTCATGATGTTGCATATTCTCATGATGTATTTGGTCATTGTTCATGATTTCCCAATCATATCTCAGCCTTCTTTAGCATACTTGGTCATGCTTTGCCTTTTCCAACGAAAGTTTTGTCATAGTTCAAGATTTTCATCATTTCTTATGGTTTTCCAGTACTTGTGTGCATTTTTTTGCGCCTTTTTTGGACATTTCTTCACATGGTAAAATTTTCTTGTGATTCGTGTCATTTGCATTGCTATTGTTGCTGATGCTATTGCCACGAACTGTCTGTACAGTCACAACCAAGCGGGAGGGAAACACAAATATTCTTCAAGATCATCAGTCCAACTTTTGCCATTGCTAAGATAGCAGACATTTCCGAGGGAAAGATGTACATATGTTATCAACATCAACTATTTGAAGAACAAAGCAAGGGTCTTCATTTCAGGGTTGTTTCCTTGTGTCTTCCTGTTCTTGCGTTGCTATAAGCACGGCTAAAATCTTGAATCTAACAGATTTTTTGAGTTATCAGTTCCGTATAGCTCTCGCGTCCTGTCCTTTAGGGTCAGGGCTTTACATATTCGAAGTTTCACCTTCGCCCGTGAAGCCATATTCTGGTGATCTGCACTTTTGGCCGAGCTCCAGTATCTTCATTGATGTTTGTTGGCCACTTGTGTATGAAACGGTCGGGTACCTATAGGCCTTGCGGTGGCAAGTCGAAGGACCGCCAAGACAGACGGTAAACCCGTATTTTGTTCGCGGCGGTATTGCAGGGCCTGGCAATCTTCTTTCCTACTTTTCATGCGCAACGAGACGAGGAGGAAGAGCAACCAGAGCAGCCGGAGCAATCGTCATCTTCGGGGATTAGGCGGAGTCCTTACGAGGAAAAAGACAAGGATATCGCGGCGGCTTTGGACGCGCAATTTGGAGTAGTAACAGCTGAACCTATTCCAACATCAGAAGACCCCGTGGTAGCAACAGCTGAATCAATTAGGGAGGGATCAAGGGCCTCTATCCGTATTGAGGAGTTGCGTCGTCTTCACAATCTGCCACGAGTCGAGCAGTTTGTGCATCCATGAGAGCGTATCTTTCCAAGGGCGACTCGGGGCCACATGGTAATCTTCAGCGAGCATCATATGGACCTTGGGTTTAATTTTGCAGAGAAGACCTTCGCGATTGAGTATTACAACGCTATTGCCCATACCAGCCGAGAGTTGCAAAGGAGGCAACTTGGATCATCTTTGGATAGCCCAGAAGTTTGCATTATGTTTCGCTATTCCTGTTTGAAATTTGGAATGGTTGGCCGATACTTATCGCGCTGGCTGCCATTCATTGCTCCTTACTTACGTTGGGCGACGAGGCGCAGCGAAGTAGGTTCAAGAGCTGTTGGCGTCTGGAGTGCCCAATGTCTTCAGCGTCGGAATTTTGCGCTGAAAAGACAGGCCGTGGTGGTAAGGCTTACATTTGCAATTACTTTGCAATTTCTTCAATATTCTAACACTGTTGGACGATCACGATCAAGCTAAGAACGAGTGCTATCCAAAGGGCAAGCCCTGGATCTACCATATCACGAGGGAGCCCGCTGCACAAGGTTCCGATTGATCGGTTGCTCGAGTGACCGTTGCTGCTACTGATACTGTCAAAATGGAATCCACTCCGCCTTTGTCACCTAGTGGTTCTAGTGGTTCTACTAGGGGTAGTGTTAGGAGTAGGAGTAGGAGCCCCGAGCAATGCACCGAGGATGGCAGTGAATACCAGAGCTGATCGTGCTCCTGTCATAAGTCCCAGCACAAATACTGTCAGTTGACAGTCTTCGGTTGAGAGGCTTCCTTTGTTGAGGGTTAACACGCGCAGCAACCGCAACAATCCTCAGTCAATTGCCCAAGCCTCCGATTCTCGATCTGTGCATTACATGCAAACCTCAGTGGTGCTAGAGCCTTTCATGTTGGAACTTTGCCTGAGCCGGTGCTCAGTGCTGTTAGCGAGGTTGCTTCAGAAGCCGAGCGCAGGCATGTGCGTGTGTTAGGGCAGAGCCAAACATGCCCAGGACAAAAATGCCCTTGCCTCAGAAGCTCAGTCACAACAGCAGAGGCAGCAGTACGAAGTCCAACTCCAGGATGCACCAAAGGCTTGAGCAAGAAACCTTGCTTAGGTCCCAAGCTGAAAGCCTGGTCACTTCCATGCGTCAAGAGGCCTATTCCCACCAGCAGCAAACCGAAGCTAGATTTTCAGAAATGTCTGGTGTGATTCAAACCCTGACTGAAGAGCTTCGTCAGCTGAAGAGCTCACCACCGCAAGGCCCTTCGCCTACCGCCAGTGCCGGCTGTGCAGAGTTTAACGCGCCAGTCACGGGAACCTCAAGTAGTCAGTTGCACCTTTTGGGGACAATCTTTCTAGGTTGGTTAAAACCTTTGATGATTCCTTGTGTCGGCCACGTTCCTTTGATATCCCTCATCCCCAGGCATCAGGTTCACAGTGTGTGTCTCAACCTGCAGATGCTCCAGAAAGTAGCAATTCAATTCTTGATCCAATTGTTGCCCAACTTGTTGATGCCGTGGGTGATCTACAGGCAAAGGTCCAGGCATTAGCATCCCCCGCGGATTCGCCAACTTCAGAGCCAACGGTGCGATCGAAGGGTAAGAGGAGGGACAAGAGTTCTTCATCGTCTTCGGCGTCA